ACAATCAGTGACGTAATTAAAAAGAAATTTCATTAACCACATGCTGTCAATCCATTCGAACTAAACATGAAGACATGGAAGAACACTTAAAATTCATGGAAATTGCAGAACTTCACCTATATGAGTCCGTTTCTTGATCTGTAGCTCATATGCAGCCCTTCCCAACGTCTCCAAAGGTGCGGCCAGCTAAAAAATTCGAGGGTCAGGTTATAGCAACTCAACATTTTTCTTTTGGGGGTGCATGATAACTACCCAGACTCCCCACCACTAGATCACAGATATTGGCTTAGGTCGACAAATGACTGGAAATATAACCTTAGATTAGTAAGAACGGAGAAAAATTGAAGGCAGATACGACCCCATAAAAAATTTGTTCAGAACTCTTCTGCTGGAAGAAAAGACCGTCTACGATTTTCTCCAACAAACATTGGAACGAAAAGAAATGACCTTTAGCACTGCTAACAGATCTTAGCATTCCTTCCATTGCTACGACTGGAATGTACTCCAGATGATAAAGATAATACTCAATACGCAAAGGAGGTTGAATAATGCAATTTAGAAGTCTAACCTTAATAAACTCTTCTGCAATGCCATGAACTCCCTCAACTATAAACCCGACCTTCCTAAACTCCTGCACTAGGACATTTACGCAGTCAGAGACTTCATCTTTTTCCTGCACGATTCTCCTTGGAATTACCACCGCAATCTCAAAAACAGGCTCCTCCTTTTCATGCTCCTTCATTTTTCAATCCTTAGAGACCATGTAAACACCAAATCCCTAGACACCTGAATTCGAACGAAATAAAGCTTCAGAGAGCGCCGAAAGGTCCCTTTCCTGGATCAAAGGTTGCAAGCAGCCAAATAGGCTTCTAATTCAGGAATGAAGAATGAGGTTTTAGGAAAGCAGTTTTTTCCGAGACCCAGGAGACACAATTGTGTCTCCTTTCGTGGTCTAACCGTCAAAAGACGCGATAAAGACCGAAATGACGATACTTTCTAGGCAGATGGCAATGTGGGTGGGGACGATAAGTTCAACCTAAAAACCGGGAAGAGAACAGACAGTGGAAATCACGATGATGGATCAATGGAAACGGCCAATCGGCGGCACCAGTGCCGAGCAACGGACACATGGAATGATCTGATTTGGGATGATCTTGAATTTAAATTTATGAATCTCCCCTAATCAGACTTGGAGATTCTCCTTAGATGGGACCCCTTGCTGGTAATAATAACGGTTTAATCTAGAAAACAATGTTTTCCAAACTGAAAATATGATTTGAGGCGCCACTTTGACTTGGATAGGAAATGGATTTCTATCCACCCAACAGTTCTAGTATTTGAAGGGGCAATAAATAACCTCACGTTGGCTGCTCAACTGGAAACTGATACTCTTCTATAAATTCTCATTTAAGTTTATTGTATATGGATTAAAAAATTGGTTTTATTTATAAGATTTGCTTAAAAAATGTTTGAAATTTTAACCAATTTTTTTAAAAATTTTTGCTCCAATTTTTTTCTTACACCTTTATTTCTTACCTTGTTTTATTCGCTGTCACCATAAGTAAGGATATTGAAAATTGATACTAGTACTCCTCCGGTCCTTATTATAAGACCCTATTTGGCTTTTTTATTTGGTTCTAATTATAAGACCCCAATCCATTTTGTCTCTTATATTTATGTATTTTTTTTCAAAATAATCCTTCTAATAATGATAGTTTTAGCCAATATACTTAATTAGCAAGGATATTTTAGGAATGACAACACTTATTTATTATAAATAACCAGCTTAACTTATTTCCTTAATCTCCTCAAATAAATCAATTGGGTCTTATAATTAGGATCGGAGGAGTATTAAATATTGTTTTGAAATTGCGAAAAAACATGTTTTTTTTATTTTTAATATGAGCAGCCGGGAGGTTTTTTTTTTTTTTTTTGGAAATGTTTGGGTTCATTCTTATTCTACTCTTATTACTTTTACTCTTTAGTAAAGTTAGGTATCTTATCTCTAGTGTCAACAACAAATTTTACAGCTGGGTTGTGATTTAATGTTGTTTTAAGTTTATTGCGATTTACTTTGTTATCAGTTACCATCATATGCTAGGTTATTTTTGCCCCTAAATATTACATTTTCGCTTAGAAATTGAAATCAGTAAAAAGATCATTGATAACTTTCAAATATTTGTATTCCATATATTCGTAGATTAAAATATTAGTTTAGAGCAATACATATGCAAGAGGTGTGTTTCTTTTCCAACCATATCCTTGGAGTGAAATAAATGAATGGAAAAAAGATAAGGAAAATGAATAGAAAAAAAGAGAGAAATATGTAATTTTTTTGACCAGCAAGAGAAATATGTAATTAATGGAAGGTAAAAATAAAAAATGCATTAAACTTTTAAACAGATACAATTATCACTTATATATAAAATCAATTTTATGTAAAGAATATTACTTATATATATAGTTGGCACAACTATGATGGGTAAAATAGCATCTAGCACTTTGAATACATCTTATACCTAGTCTTGTTTGTGATTTATAATGTTAAATGCATTATAAATTATATTAACATTGTGGAAGTACTTAGAAGTCCTAAATGATTGATATTAAAAATATTAGATGTACTATAAATAAATAAAATTAAGATATTAAATATAAAAAAAATTAATATTGGGATGATGTTACTTATTAATATGCTTTCTAGAATTAAATTTAGATTATAAACCACATTTTACGTTAGATTTGGAGGCAGTAATTTTTAACATCACGTCTATGTAAAGCATAAAGTCACTAAGAATCGTACTAAAGGCCCATGAAATTTCGCGAGGCAAAATCATGTAACGATGGATCTATTGTACTTTTACTAGTCACGGATTGACAAAATGATGGGTTTTGCAGAGATATGAGTAAAGATTGATGGATGAAAACGTGGAGAGTACATCAGATTCTGCAAAACAAAAGCCGATCACTCAAATCAAAGGCCTCATAAGAAACCTTAATTTAATATACAGTGCGTAAGATTCCACGTGAATAAAAGTGGATAGTTACTCAATCCTTTATGTGTCTTACAGCTTTTATGCATTGAAAAGGCCATTTTAAGTTTAGGATGAAACTTGGAGTCCCACATCGTCTGCTACTATCATCGTAAAGCTTTTATATATGAGAAAGCAAAACCAATCAGCAACTCTGACCACGAGGAGTTGTGAACGGGCTCATATACCCAGTGACTTTGTTGCTGGGCTGGGCTCAGGAAAGTCCCCGGGCCCACTTCTGCAGAGATGCAGGCCCGGAAACGGGTTACTTCGAGTTGGGAATTAATTCATCCTCCTGGGTGGAGGGCTGAGACACGTGTGGAGCCTTGAGATTCCCGCCGAAGATATTGGCCAATGACACAGTTATTCACAAGGTCCTCTATGGACCAACAGAACGGGGCTTACGTCCTCGGGGTCACCCTTTTTTTGATGTTTCTGAAGTCCATCTACAGGGTATTCAAATGCATTTAACTAGGGGAAAATTACACTCAGGTTCCATATAAGGCAATTAATTAAGAAAAAGTTTGAAAATCCTGAAATGATTCCTAAGTCTCCAGGACCTGTGTGTAATTAATTTGAACTGACAGAATGGGATACCAGGGACAGTGCTGAGGTTGTTAATCACTTCTCCTCTGTTTTTTCAACAGCCACTGCTGAGGTTGTAAATAAATTGTATTGGGTTCAAATTAATAGGGGTAAGTAAGTAATTTCATAATTACAATTTATTACACACATCTTTGGAGACTTAGAAATCATTTTAGGATTTTTCAGAAACTTTTTTTGAATTAATTATTTTATATGGAATCTGAGTGTACTTTTCCTTAATTAGTTAACTCACCTTCCGCATCTAGAATACTATCTTCGGTTCTAATTATAAGAGCCAGTTGACTAATTTGAAGAGATTAAGGAAGTGAGTTGAGTTAGTTATTTGTTCTAAATAGGTGTTGTCTTTTTTAAAATATCTTTACTAATCAAATGTATTGACCAAAACTATTATTGTTAGAAGGCTATTTTGAAAAACATGCATAAATATAAGAGACAAAATGGATTGGAGTCTTATATTTAAAACTAAAATAAAAATTAAACAGGATCTTATATTAAGGACAGGAGATAGTACAATATGTAGCGGGTGGATTACACTTGTGATTACTGCTCCCCCGGTTGCCGCTGGATGAAGCCATGTCAAGGCCCGAAGACCCATATGCTCTCGCTGTTAATTGTAAATCCCTCCCTAAAATATCACTTCATTCTTTTTTTCTTTTTTTTTTGTATAAAAACCATGAGTCGGCTTTTGGCCTTAAAAAAAAAAAACATGACTGGGAAAGCAAGTTATTTGCACTTTTTTTTTATTATTGCTATTTAAAGGCTAAATTATATAAAACTTTCAAAACTTAGAATTTGTAAATAACTTTCTTAATTTTTAAAACTGGAGGCACCCCCGGGGATTTTGAAAACGTTTGTATTTTTACAGTATTGTCTTTCATTAGAAGAAGCCCCTCACTTTTATGTTTGATGCCGTCTCATTACCTTTACCATTAATTGTTGTTACTGAAGCTTCAATTCTGGTGATTGATTTCTTGAGGTAAGCGGGTGATGAAGTGTAGTAAACAGCCAACGAAATGTAAAATAGATATTTACATTTCATAAAACTTTATCTCATTAACTGTATTAGTGGTTGGCTATTGAAACTTCGATACTAACTGCTATGATTTGTTAAGTCAAAACTGGCTCAAATTTACACGGTTGGATATTTTATGATATTTACAACATTTCATTAGCTATTTGACATGCTTCGTAAACCAGCTTTATCTGAATAAATCACAACCAACGATGCCGGAGCTCCAATTATTGTCGATGGCATTTTTTCCAACATTTCAGAATTTGATTTGTCATTTTAAAATTTTAAGGATATTTTTCTGCCATCTTCCCCTCGGCTCAAATAATTAATTAAATGCGGTGCGACTCGTTTGGACTTGGCCGTGGGGGTGGCGTGTCCGTGTGCAGAGGAAAAGCTCTCGATTTCGGGGAAACATCGCATTCCCTAGTGGAATTGAAATCCATCCCTCTCCTGCCTCTCTGGTCTCTGCTTCAAATTCCCAAATTCCTCAGAACCATCGTCCAAAAATTTCTCTTTTACTCGATTGTTTACGATTTTCTCTGTGTTCCCAAATTTCAATTCTTTGATCGTTTGCAGTGACACAAGGAATCATGGGCAACACAGAGAAGTTGATGAACCAGATCATGGAATTGAAATTCACCTCCAAGTCCCTTCAACGCCAAGCCCGTAAATGCGAGAAGGAAGAGAAATCCGAGAAGCTTAAGGTCAAGAAAGCCATGGAGAAAGGGAACGTGGACGGCGCTCGCATCTACGCGGAGAACGCCATTCGAAAGCGAACCGAGCAGATGAATTATCTGCGTCTCGCCTCTCGGCTTGACGCCGTCGTCGCTCGGCTTGATACCCAAGCCAAGATGAGCACCATCAATAAGTCCATGGCTAACATCGTCAAGTCCCTGGAATCTTCCTTGGGCACCGGTAATCTCCAGAAGATGTCCGAGACCATGGACTCTTTCGAGAAGCAGTTTGTGAATATGGAGGTTCAAGCTGAGTTCATGGAGAGCGCTATGGCCGGATCCACCTCTCTTTCCACTCCTGAAGGCGAGGTCAACAGCTTGATGCAGCAGGTGGCCGATGATTATGGCCTCGAGGTCTCGGTGGGTCTGCCGCAGCCGGCATCTCACGCTGTTCCGACTAAGGAGGCGGAGAAGGCGGACGAGGGTGACTTGTCTAGGCGACTTGCTGAGCTTAAGGCGAGAGGTTAAGATCGAGTTATTATCATTAGGGTGATGGGTGTCATTTGTGAATGAAATACATATAAACTACACAATTATGCTTGAGTTTTTGTCTTTTTTTTAATAATGAGAATGAATGTTTTGTGTATATTCAACTGAATTTCTCTCTAAGCTGTTACTTTTATACTGTATTTTGGGATGATCCCTTTGCAGCATACCTGTCCTAGTTGTTACTTATGCTTATTAGCTTTAGCCATGTGACTTTCTTGAACAACGATGTAGATTTTGTAGATATTAGGCGGTGTGTGATGTTTGAAGAACATGTCCAGTTATATTGTAAGCATAATTGTATAGCAGGTAAGTGGATGATGGTTCATGTATGCTGATGAATGAATGATGTAGTGTGGGTTGCTTCATCAGTTGTGCAAGTGTGATGAAATATTTGGTTAGAGAAAGTGGTTAAATCATAAATGCCTTTTTTACAATGAGATGAGAGTGTAAAATTGATGGGCTTTGGAGGAGCTGGGAATTCCTGTAATTTGCAGGGGCAACTGAGCAACTTATAATTTGATAGAGAATCTGCTTCCATGTGATTCAATCAATGTTTGGGAATTGGTCCTAAATAACATCATCTAGTTAGCATCATTAATGCCGGAGACTTGTGCACTGGAACTTTTTTTTTCCCTCCTCATTTGTCCATTATAGAATCAGAAGAAAGGTTTGAATTTAGAACCTCTGTCTCCGTCTAACTAACTGTAAATAAACGACGGATAACTGTAAACTGGATTTGTCATATGATCGGGGAATATAATTACTTTGATGGTTGTTGAATTTTGCTCTGAACTATTATGAATTATTCAATGGTTCTTGTTAGCCTAGGTCAGTCATACCAGTAACTAACCTTACTCTAGATGATGAGTGTGCGCTTCGTAAAAGTCTAAGGGGAAGACAGTGCGGGAAAGAATATATACTGGACACAATCAATGAGCTATTATGCAGAATGAGATTCCCCTTCAAGCACGCCCAGTGACAGAATTTTACTTTAAGCATTTTCGAAGAAAGCACATTGAGCTGTTTTAAGTCTAAACATTTATATCACAAGGGAATTTTGAGAATGCTCTCATGTGAAAGAAGCGTCGTTCTGTGTTATATAATCCTTGATAACGAAAAGTGATCAATCTAACCGTTTGAAGTATGTTAAACAGAAAGCAATTCAACCTATGCTTCTTATTAAGTGATGGGCAATTTTACGTTGCCAGATTTTTCCATCAAACACAAATACTTGCTCTTGTATTGTTCTGGGTATGGATATAGCTACAGGATATTGACAGACTTATTCATTTATAGTACAATGACACTCCCAAACCCATGACAAAAGCATCATAAAGCTCTCTAGTTCTCTCTCAATTGTAGACTCTGTAGTTCTCTTTTACTAAACTAACAAGTCTAATTTTATATGGTTTTCTGGCCAGCTTTGGTGGCTGACGACATTAAAGGTCCACTCGTAAACTTTATCAACGTGCATGCTTCACCACTCAACCCATGCTCCCGTATTCTTCCCTTATTTTACTAACTTAGCACAATATGGGCTTCACTATTTTGTATTTTACTAACTTACTTTAAGAGTTGTATAGAATAAATATGTGAAAAGAATTTCGTCTTAAATTGCGTAAAAAATTTTTTACGTTTTGTAAGACAAAATTCTTCTCACATAGTTATTTTATACATTGCAAAATCTTTTGAAATAAGCTAATCCACATCCAAAGCAGTTTTTCAGTTTCTGAAGCAAGGTTTTTGATTGTTTAGGAGACAAAGTGAAACCAATTGAATCTAAGTACCATCCGCTTCTCCCCTTAAACCCTACAATTTTGCATCCTTCCATTGTAAAGTCAAATGGTGTGCCTTCTTCAACTCCATATGGTCCATAGGTTGTGATGTTGCTCTTAAACACCAATGATCGAATGACAGGTGTGCCGTTAAGCCACGCTGGACAGTAATGTCCACTGACACCAATCAAGAACTCATCTGGGTACTGCAGCTTAATCTGATGGACATGAAAAATTTGGGTTACTTTCAAGTTTATGATACGCCCTAGAGGACAACATATACATGTGGAGTTAGAACAAAATCTTCATATCAGAAACAAAGGTGATTCCTCAAAAAAGGTATCTGAGATACTGAACTAACCTCATCAGTTTCGTTGCCTCTGGTTCCTCCATGTCTGTCAGCTTTGAAAGGCTTACCATGCTTGTCATAAACAACTTGAATGGAGTCTATACAATCTCCATAAACCAGTGTGATTTCTCTCACCCCTGTGAAGCAACCATCGTCCCAGCTCGATCCTCCGTTTCCTCCCCATGGTCCCACTACTACCAGGTTGTTGTTCTTCCTTCCTGCAAAACCCTTTGTCTTAGTTCCGTTGAAAAGCCTATTGTAGGATTATGATCCTACAAAACTTTGTTTACAGAGAACAGATCATACACCTTCTCAAATACATCAAGGACCAAGTGTAAGGAGGCCTTTTTCTTAGGGCCTCAAATTATATACTAATTCCCTTTTTTTAATATAAGAGCTAGTTGACTAGTTTAAGTAAATTAAAAAAATTAGTTAAATTAGTTATTCATAATAAATAGGTGGTGTCTTTCCTAAAATATTCTTACTAATAAAATTATTACTTAATGAAACCTTTAATATGTATAACTACTATAAGGACTATTTTGAGAAAAAATAGATAAATATAAGGAACACAGTGAATTAGAGTCTTATATTTAAAATCAAATTAGTTTTTATATTAAAGACCACAACTAGGATATGCTCAAATGGTAGAAACTTTCATTTAGCAAACTTGTATGTCTGATTTCTTAGGTAGATTCAAAGCAAAACGAAGCTCGAGAACAACTATTCGTAGTTTTCTACCAAACATTAGGTGCACAGCAGGAAACATGTCTGATAGGAACAAAAACGCCAGATTTGAAAAACCTTACCATAAGGACTCTAAACTTTGAAGATTAGGATAAGCAACGATTCAGATCTGTGATACTATCTGCTTTGAAGTATCTATTGTTTTGAGAACTGAGATTAACGGACACAAACACATATATAGGCAACCGAGCGGAGGACTTAGTGCGGTATCTAATTCCATTTAAAAGGAAGACATATATAGCCATTCCACGTTTTGCTTTTAGGTGAACATTTGGATATATGCGAGCCACTATAAGAGAAATGCCAGACTTGAATCTTTCACAATCAGCTTTTCCTGTTCACCAAACTCGGTGACAAATGGAATTTAGAACCCTAGCACAATTAGGTGTTAACTCACTCAAAAGTAAATATTTTTTTTGCTCTTTCTTATTCTAGGTATAAGTGCAGGGTGTTGATACAATTATTTATCCTCCAACTCCGAATCCGAGAATCTTAAGGTCAAAAGAAAGCTAATACTACCTCCGGTCCTAATTATAAGACCCTGTTTGACTTTTATTTTGGTCCTAAATATAAGACTCAAATCCACTTTGTCTCTCATATTTATCCACTTTTTCCAAGATAGTCCTTCTAACAATGATAGTTATAGCCAATACACTTGATTAGTAAGGATATTTTAGGAAAGATAACACCTATTTATGACAAATAACTAACTTAACTAAATTCCTTAATCTCTCCAAATTTGTCAACTGGGTTTTATAATTAGGACCGGAGGTAGTAGTTCTCTTTATTATTCCGATGTATAACAACCAAAATTTCATTGTTCAAGAGACTTCGAAGGCAACTGAATCCAAATACACACCACTTTGTCCCTTAAACCCTACAACCTTGCCTCCTTCCATTGAAAAGGTAAATGGTGTGCCTTGTTCAAAACCGCATGGGCCATAAGTTGTTGTGTTGCTCTTAAATGTCAGTGACCGAATGACCAGGGCTCCTTTAAATGGAAAATAATGACCACTCACACCAATCAAGAACTCATTTGGGTACTGCAGCTTAATCTGGTAGATGAACATGAAAAACGAGGGTTAGTGTGAAGTTAATCCCCAAAGCTAGAACATAATCTTCCCCTTCCACATAAAAGTGATGCCTCAAGCATCTTCCTAAGAATCAAAATAAAGTTGTTCCCAACAAAAGTTGATCCAATTGGTAAGCAGTTATTCATAACTCATTGGGTCATGAGTTTAAATTTATGTGATGGAGTCTATAAGAGCTCATTGAGCCTAGAAAATGCCTAGTCCTGATTTTTTTTGGGAAAAAAAAAGGTTGCTGTCATAGTCAGATACTGAACTAACCTTGACAGTGTTGTTGCCTCCATTTCCTCCATGTTTGTCTGCCATGAAGGGCTCACCATTCTTATCATAAACCACTTGAATGGAATCTATACAGCGTCCCTAAACAAGTGTGATTTCTCTCACACCTGTGAAGCGACCATCGTCCCAACTAGACCCGCCGTTTCCTCCCCATGGTCCCACTATGAGGCTTCTCCTCTTCCTTCCTGTTTCTTCCTGCAAAGTTCATTGGCTTAGGTCTGTTGAAGAGCCTATTGCAGGAGTATGACCCTATGAACAATGTTTACAGAGAACAGATTGTATATATAATCAAATAAGTCAAGGCCTAGCTCCTTTCTAGGGACCCCCAGTTGTACATATTCTCAAATAGAAACTTGATATATTTGGCAATCATGAATTGTCTTCATTTGCAGATTGAATGGCAAAACACACCTGAGAATTGAAAAAGAAAACGATATTTAATTTATAGTTGACCAGACACAAGATACACAGGCGGAAATATGATTGAGCCACGAATTGAATAACCTTACCATGGGGACTTCGAAAGAGGGATATATAAGCAACAATAATTCAGATTTGTGACGGTGACAGGGTTACAGGGTGGCTACGGCTTTGAGGACTGATATTAACATATGTGTACACACACACACACACACACTTAACGAAGAGTCAGATATGAATTCATTAAATTGAAGAAATTCACATTTTCGTTTTTCTAGGAGAATATTATTCATTGCATAGTCTTTACCCGGTACATGCATTGAGTGGTCTAAACTAATATTCATGATACATATGGTTTTATTTTTCCCCCAAGATCATTTATTAAAAAAAGGTTAATATTAGTTTTAATTCTTGAAATTTGATCTTGTGTTGGTTTTGGTTCTTGAATTTTTAAAATGAGTGATTTTAGTCTTGAAACTTTTGAGTCCAAAAAAAAAAAAAGTCTTGAAACTTTGACCCTGTCCTAGTTTTGGCCTTGAAATCTTAGATAAGTGATTTTTATCCTTAAAATTTGATTTTATTTTGATCCGACTTAAGATTTTTGGTCTCTAAAACAATGATCAAACCTAAAATAAGATTAAATTTTAGAGACTAAATTAAAAACACTTGTTTCAAATTTCAGGAATTAAAACCGAAATGAATTCAAATTGCAATGATGAAATACATTGATTTCAAATTTCAGAAACTAAAACCAAAAAGAAATCAAATTTTAAAGACTAAAGATAGTATTAATCATAAAAAAAATGTTTAGTATTTTCTTTTTTGAATTAGAGAAATAAACATGTACCGCCAACGCTTATAGAAAGAATTTTTATCGAGAGAATGACAACTAAGCGCTTTAAATCTTTCACGGAAAAATTAAACGTCCCGGTTCTCAATTATATGTAATATATTTATATAATGATAGTAATCAAAATAATAATTGGTTTTTCATGCAAACGTCACGTCCCAATTTTCAATTTCTTGAGAAAAATAAATTAAATATGAATTCAAATTATTCACTTTGATGTTTGATAAATGAAAAAAAATGATAATTTAGGATAAGACTGATACCAAGTCGAGAACTCTTCACACCTTCATTTCTCGAATTGCATAGTTAATTTCCAACATTTCAATTCTCATTTTGCCCATTTCGGCGCTTAAAACCTTTTTATAAATGTCTTTGGTTGTCGTTTTTTCTTGTTTAGTGGTTACGTAATATATTAATATTAGTGACTTAACTATTACTCCACAAATATTACTGTGGCCTTTTCATGATACTTCCTCGTTCCTAATGATAAGAGCTGGTTAATTAGTTGATTATGGTTACAAATGTGAAATATTTATTCATTTATTTCTCATAATTTTTCCTCAAACTAATTTTTATGAGGCTAAAATATACATTTATAGTTCTTTAACTTTATATAAAGTTTTAATTTTGTTTGTTAACTTTAAAAAATATATTTTTAGTCACTTAATCCTAAAATTATTAACAAAAAATTGTGACTTTGATATTTTAGATGTTGATAAAACATTCTCAAATTTTAATATATTAACTTTAATTTTTAAAACAGTCATGATTGTCACAAAAAAATTATCATTTTAATTTAATGATTTTAGGGTTAAAAGATCAAAAATATAGTTTTGTTTAAGGTCAAAAGATTAGATTAAAATCTTGTATAAAATTAAAGAATCAAATATATCTTTTATCCTTTTTATAACTTATAAAAATGCATGTATCTAATATTACATAAAACTATTTTAAAGAAATTATCTTAGATTTGTTAAAATTAAGTAATGCATATTGATTCCTTAATAATCTACCTAAATTAGTTAAGCAATTTTTATTTTTTTCCCCAACAAATTCAGTAGCTTTTATATCAAATATTGATGGAGTAATATTTTATAATTTTATTCATTGCTTTGCCAAACCGCTTATGGCGAATGGTACCTATTAATCCATGGAATTGCAAAGTATACATGAGGTCAAGGAAAAGGTGTTGAAGTGACTTCGAGATTATTGATCCATCACACGTTATCGTGGAAAATGGACTGCAATGCTTCTTAACTTCAATATTATTGTCAAACATTGTTATGAGATAGTGCAACACAACGTTTTTATTGAAGACTTCTTTTGAGCCTGAAACTCAAATGAGAAAAAGTCCAATAATCAACTGTGATAACTTGGGGCCTGGACTTACTGAAATCATTGTTATCAATCCAATGCGCTTACAAGACTCAAAAAAACATATATAAAGGTTCAAATAGATATCTTTAATAATCAGCAACGAAGGAATTCTAAAAAGAAGTTAATGACTGTGAATAAACCTAATCAATCACATGAAAAGATAAAATGAGCAAAAGAAATAAAAAAACAAAATAAATTACTATAATTGAAGTTATCATTGGCTCAATTTGGCAAGTGTACGAAGTTAATCATGATAATAAATTACTACATCCAATCCCTAATATAATATAAATTCAATTTAAATAATAAATTAAATCTTATATTAAGAATAAAAAAAAGTACTAGAAGGATAATATTATTCACTTTTAGGAAGTGTCCTCATATTTGTAAAGACTAATCAGTTTCATATCAGCTCAATGATCCAAGAAATGGGGCAGCACTGCACAGTTCACGACTATCCTGCTATATTAAATGAGGTTATACACGAAGGAGAGAGAAAGATCCAATGAGTTATTGGAATGTGGGGAGCCATTTTATAAGATTTAATTTGATATTTGTTAATGTATTTTTGCTAATTCGGTCGTTAATTATTTATTTTCTCTTCTTGTGAAAATCTTTCTTATCACATTTTTCATGCATTTTCTTTTATCTTTTTCTTGTTTATTGTGAGGTCAAATTTGAAAACAAAATTATATTTTTAACCTATTTACTCTTTTTAATTTAATTGTTCATTATCTTCTTATTAGTTATTTGAAACTTACAATAAAAACAAGAGGAAGTGTATTTAAGCATTAATTGCATGGATAAAATTGACAAATGAACATTAAATATTTTTCAAATGACTTATATTTTGGACTAAATCATTTTTCTAAAAGCGAATTATATTCTTCGACAAAAAAAAAAAACAGAGGGAGTACTGATTTGGAGAGCATTACATATATCCAACTATCTTAGAGGTTCTTTCTTCTATTAACTCTTGAAGCTGTGGGGTGTGAAAAGGAGAATAATGAGCTTTGGAATTTACCTTGAATAATCTAAATATTATTGAATATATAATAACTTGTGCTCAGATGACTACAAATCCCAGGTTACTACGAACGTTAGGAAGAACATGTTCACTTAGCAGTTGACGACTCGACTCTTGACAATGGCTCTTGCGGTTGCGGTGGAATTATCCGAGATAAAAGTAGCAGATGATTGTCCGGATTTAGCAGTAAACTCACAATAGTTC